CCGGGAGGGTTGGGTTCTTTTTTTCCCCCCCGTTTCCTTCCCAGCTTCTTTGCAGCTTAATCTTTCGGGTTAACTTCCCCCCTGGGCGCAGCACGTTGCCGCTGCCTTTGGAGAGCCGTGGCCATTTCGAAGGCAGGCCGGTGCTGAATGAGACGTGAGACACGCTCCTCAACCCCACTTTAAACAAATCCTCACACGTTGTTAGCCATTTTAATGAGCCTCTTACCCGCCTTCACAAGCTGAGTGTTTTGCAGTGACAACATAAGCGTCTTCCTAAAATTAACTTTATTTCTCCTCTTTTCTTTTTTTTCCCCCTTTTCTTTTAACCGATCGTGGGCCGTCGCTTCCCAGAGACCGAAAGGACAGGATAATAAAGGTGAGGATCATGCTGAGATCTGATCGTTTAACTTGTTACCGTAACAGACGAACGGGTATCTGTAGCGGAGCAGAAAGATGTTGCTCTTAGTCCCTAGAGATAACATCTAGAACAAGGGGAGCTATGCTGTGTTTCAAAAATAACATAAACTGTTATTCATACATCTTGCTTGCATCCTGCTTGATGCTGCTCAGTTTACAGCGTGAAGGACTGTGTCAGTACTAAACATAATTACAATCTTCAGTTCTTAAAATAAAGCTGTTTTTAACATAAAGTGACAAGTATATGTCTATTCAATGTATATTTATACATATTTTTGCATAGGCTTTTTTCTGCTGTATGAATATAATTGTATTGCTGGGCTGCTTTTGACTCGTGTAGATGCTAACAGTCATATATAAGCCTACAAACTTAATTATTTAAGGTGTTTCAAGTAAACAATGGTTAGCTTCATGTGAGATAACAAGCTTTTTATGATAACTCCCGTGCTTAATTTGAAATTAAATTTAATAACAAGTCATCTAGGAAAATACCTTGATTTTACTGTGATTGCTGAGAAGTGTGTAACTGTTTACCCTCAGAAAATAACAATATTCAGCTCATAAATGGTCTTTAATCTATCCTAATGTGCTTTAAAAATCCATCTCCTAGTTAGGGAAGCTTTGGCACTATTCCCTGTGTTTGTAAATACTCCTTTTTCATCTACTCTCCCTGACAAACTTTGCAGATATAGTCTGGTAAATATCCAGACTTCTTTGCTAAACATCCTATTTGGTGTAGTGTTACTTGTAGTTGACTTTAGCTGTTCTATGAAGTGAGTAAATAAAGGAACTGTCACATAATGTTCCCTTAAATTCTTTTTTTTTTTGAGTGGTTGCTGATTTTTTTTAAAATTTAAAAAAAACCAAGGAAATTGAGTGACCTAATTAGTTTTTTATATTTTTTCAATAATGGGTTTTGAATGCTTCTGATACATTAATTTCTGCTGAAATAGACCTTTGGTTATGACAGATACCTGCAATTTGTATGTGAGAAAAAATTAAACTTTCCTGAAAATGTCAGTATATCAAGGCACTTTACAGTCATTATGTCATAATTAAAGGTAACCTCACCTTGTCTTATTTGAACCAACTTAAGCAGCAAATAACATGTGCAAGGAGAACTGTGAATTAGTTCCTGAGACTTCTAATTATGGACTGGGAACAATAGATGTTGTTTCCCAATATTTTTCACAATACATTTTTAAGTAATTGGGGTTTTGGTCAGGGCTAATTCACACGAGCTGTCTGCTCACTCTCTACTGTAGAAATTCTTTGAAATTTACTCAAATTTAGTTCTATAATCAATAATGGAAAGAGAAATATCTTTTTTAAAACGTCACCTCTTAGTCTTTTTCTAAGTCCTCATGCTGTGAAGAAGAAATACAACTTTTCATAAAGTAAGGCTATTATGTTATAAATAACATAAAATAATAAGGTGGAACTCCTTATTGCAGTGCTCCTAAGCATTATTATAACCTGTTGTAACCTTTCCCTTCTAGTACAAAATGGTTCATTACATCAGAAGGATACAGTTCATGACAACGATTTTGAACCTTACCTTTCTGGGCAGTCAAATCAGGTTAGTGTATTTTTAACTTTGGTTGTGTTTTTTTTTCCCCTCTCTCTTAGCCATGCTGTTGGCACTCAATTCAAAGGATTGTGTTGAGGGAGCAAATTCCTTAAATAGAAATGGAAAAAGAAATGGCAAGCATATTGTGTTTCTTGGTAATACAACTAGCATTTGTGCCTCAAAGCTAATATTGCTGCCCATATCTGGATGGCCACGAGTGAAAATGAAGTTAATGCTCCAAGTAGGGTCTGCTGATGGCTCCTCAAGTTGCAGGTTGTGGATATGGTTGGACTGTGACACTGTCACAGTTGAAATTTGGTTTTCATGGAATCATAGAACTTTTTAGTTTGGAAGAGACTTTTAAAGATCACCTAGTCCAACCCCCCCTGCAATGAGCAGGGACATCTGCAGCTAGAGCAGGTTTTGATGCTTTCTGGTTGTCTTGTAGGATTGTCCCACTTGCTTTTTGTGTCCCACTACACTTCAGCAAGTAGTGCTGCTCTTTCATCTCCTCTGAAATACCTTAAGAATTAAAGAGTTATTTTAAGAGTAAGAAACTGTCATGGAAACTGGCAGTATAATCCAGTTCATTATAATGGACATTAAATCAACATCCTTGACTGAAATTTCATTCCATTTGAGAATATCTTGTAATTGAAGTGACTGTTGATATAACATTCAAGTCTTTAAAGTGGACAAATTGTACAGAAACAAGAGATGCCCAAAGTTCTCTTTCCTAAGTACCAAATACTGTCTTCAGAGAGAGACCTACCAGAGGTACATTATTTCTTGACAGAAAGTCCAAGTGTTCCATTTTAAAAGGGAAATTCAGAGTTCAGTCTGAGGTTGATAGATACTGCTGTTAATCTTGGTGACATCACTGCCCTTCCAAAAGAAAATTATTCTATGTGCTTAAAAAAAAAAAAGCATATAGACCTCTTCTCTGGGTTATACAAAGTTAAACTGATTTCATGGGAAATGTTCCATTTTCTCTGGAATTCAGGTTCTGTAGAGGGTATAAGAGCAGGAAACTTACAGGGAAAGAAAGAAGTAAAATTTTCTTCTGTGGTGCAGAATTAGTTTTGAACAAAATTGAGATTTTCACCTTTCATTTTTTGAAATTCTACTTCATCACGTTTTTATGTGATTTTTAACTACTTAAAACCACAACATGCTCTCTGATGTGTAATATACTGAATATTATACTTCATATATTACAATTGTAGAACCACCTATTATAGTTTAATCCTAGGAAATTTGTCTTAGCTGTCAACAAGCCAAATTATTAGGTTTAAATGGAAAAACTGCTATGACTATTAACATTTCCATAATGCTAATAAGGATTTCTTACATGAAAGTGTGACTAATTTATTTATGCTGCAGCAAGAAATTGGTACAAGAAGAGAATGCTGCAAGAAACAATTGTGTAGGTCGTCTGACAGTTTTAAGTGGAAAGTGACAGTAGTGTTAATTAGAACTCTGAGATTTTGTACTGAGGACAACCATCTTTCTGAACAAAGCCTTATTATCTAGTTACTCAGATTTATTCAGCCCTTTGAAATTACTGTAAAATACAAGTGACTTACAAAAAAAGATTTGAAACCAACTGGGTATTTAAAAAAAACCTTCATAAATTAAAGATACTTAAGAAATTCAAACCCCAGCTGACACAACAATATATTTGACACCAAAGATCAAATAGAGGTTGGTAATATGGTGTTAATTTTGTCTTTAAAAATACAAATTATTCTTCAAAATAAGTATTGAGCTTGTTATGTAATCAAATAAACTATAATTGTCTTCCATCTTTCTTTTGAAATCTCCTAAGTAGTGGTAGTACTTAAAGGTGGTGGTACCCAAGTAGCAGTGGTTAACACAGGTCAGATTTGAGAGGAGATAGCTTTTTGTTATAAACCACACTAAAAGGGTTTTTAAGTGCAAAGGGAATTGAGTGAAGTACTCAAAAAGTTATACTCCAGGCAAGAAAGGCATCCCCCATGTCATGTCATCCAGAACCAAGATGTCTGCTGAAACTTTAATCTTGTTAGAATCCTTCTGGAAACTTTACAGGCGGTGTGATGGGAGGGAACAGTCTCAGGAATTGTCTAGAATCCTTTAGCAGAAATTTTAGGGCGAAACACCTGCTTTCCCTGGGCTTATTCTTTTTGGTTTTGGCAAATTCTAAATCTGTAGAATATATGAATGTAAATAGTTCTTCAGAGATATTAAGTCTCCTCCCTTTCATCTGCATTTGGTTTTAATATGAATACTTTAAAACATAATACACAGCATTTTCATATCCTAAGTATTGATTATTTTAGCTTGGGAGTCTTAGAAAATTTGCATTTTAGAGGATCTTCTCCTAGGAAGGTGGATTGTGTACCTCTTGTTAATGACAGCATTTGCATGTAAATAAAAGCAGCTTGAGCAGTGTCAGAGATTTATTTCTCTTGAATCAACAATGCTGGATTTAGGCTGTTTAAATCTCAAGTGTTTGCAGCACTGTCTCTAAGTCTTGGAGTCATTTTCTGATGTCACTCTGTATATGGAATGTAAGAATGTTGAATTTCTCTGGCTTTGGGGTGTCATGGAAGGGAGTCACTGAAAAATGAGCAGTAAAAATTGCTCTATCAGTTGGGTATTACCTTTTATTTTTTTACTGGTATTACTTTTTTTAACTCCATTTATTGAATGAGCTGAGAAGTAATTGATTTTTTTGTAAAATTACTGAAGTTGTAGTGCAGTTTTGCTGATTTTGCAGATACATTTTTATTTTTTTGAAGGTTGAAAGAAATCTTAGTTCCTTTTCGGAAAATAATCTTTCTCCATGAGTAAGGAAAGGCTGGCTGCTGTTTGACTCATTAACAGGAGATGTTGACCTTCCCTCCCCCTTGCTGGTAATTACAGTCATCAGTTTGGAAGGTCTCCAATACGTACACTTTGAGTTTATTGAAGGAGGAGTAAAACCTCTTTTAGCATATTTTGTGTTTATTCTTTCGTGTTGATTATAAGAAATACACAGAATGCTTCCAAATCAGGTGTCAACAGAAGATTTAGAGTGGAAGGAAAGACTTCTGAGCCTGGGCAGTTGAAAGGGAGGAAAAGCTGGAATTTCAGAGGGAGGGCTCATCGTGTTCTCTGTTACATGTCATCATATTAAAGTAATTTAATCTTGAACTTCTCCCATGTAGCAACCTAGAAATGCTAAATATCCTCAGCTCTGAGAGAGACAAATACATCCTTATAGAAGTCCCTTGAATATTTAGGGGTATTGATAGATTAGCTGGTACTAGAAGAAGCCACTAAATGCCTATATTAATATAACTAAATGCACATGGTCTCAAAGTCTCATGTACTAACCTTATGAGCCCCTAGTCCAGGGCTGTATTTTAAATGCTCAGTGATTTCATTTTAGCCCTGAATCTTTACTGGAGTGTGAACCAAGAGCTTATTTTAGAACCTGAATTACCGTGTCTCTATCGTTCTCTCCTATTTGGTGATGAACAGTCTTGTGGCTATTTATAAATGAAGGGGGTTTACCTTTCTTCTTTTGTTTTTTCTTTAACAGAACAGTAGCTATCCATCAATGACTGATCCTTACCTGTCCAGTTACTATCCACCATCTATTGGCTTCCCCTATTCTCTCAGTGAAGCACCCTGGTCTACAGGAGGAGATCCTCCTATCCCATATCTCACCACCTATGGACAGCTCAGTAACGGAGATCATCATTTTATGCACGATGCTGTTTTTGGACAGCCTGGGGGTCTGGGAAATAATATCTATCAACACCGGTTTAACTTCTTCCCTGAAAATCCTGCCTTCTCAGCGTGGGGAACAAGCGGATCCCAAGGACAGCAGACCCAGAGCTCAGCATATGGGAGCAGTTACAGCTACCCGCCCAGTTCCCTGGGTGGTACCATTGTGGATGGACAAACAGGATTTCATAACGACACCTTAAATAAAGCTCCTGGAATGAACAGTATCGAGCAGGGGATGGTTGGACTCAAGATTGGTGGAGATGTTACAACTTCGGGGGTGAAAACAGTAGGTTCTGTTGTCAACAGTGCTGGGATGACAGGTGCTCTGTCTGGTAACGGTGGACCTAATGTAAACTTGCCAGTATCTAAACCAACCTCCTGGGCTGCAATAGCCAGCAAGCCTGCAAAGCCACAGCCTAAAATGAAAACAAAAACTGGACCTGTAATCGGGGGAGCGTTACCTCCTCCACCTATAAAGCATAATATGGACATAGGTACTTGGGACAATAAGGGTCCTGTGGCAAAGGTTCCTGCCCCTCAACAGATACCTTCTCCTCAGTCTGTTCCACAGCCACAGCAACAAATCGTTCAGCCTGTTCCAGCTCAGCCTCCTCCATTGACTCAGCCACAGTATCAGACCCCTCAGCAGCCACCCCAAAACCGCTGGGTAGCGCCTCGCAACAGGAACGCAGCTTTTGGCCAAAGCGGGGGGACTGGTAACGACACCAGCTCGGCTGGCAGTACCCAGCCTAACCCCCTGCCCAGTGGCGAGTCCCATCCCGTCCTTGAAAAACTGAAAGCTGCTCACAGCTATAACCCTAAAGATTTTGAGTGGAACCTTAAAAACGGACGCGTGTTCATCATCAAGAGCTATTCCGAGGATGATATTCATCGTTCCATTAAGTATTCTATTTGGTGTAGTACAGAACACGGCAACAAACGCCTGGACGGTGCGTTTCGGTCCATGAACAGCAAGGGCCCAGTCTACCTGCTGTTCAGTGTCAACGGCAGTGGACACTTCTGTGGAGTGGCAGAGATGAAATCGCCTGTGGACTACGGCACCAGTGCAGGTGTCTGGTCTCAGGACAAGTGGAAGGGGAAATTTGATGTCAAGTGGATCTTTGTGAAGGATGTGCCCAACAACCAGCTCCGACACATCAGGCTGGAGAACAATGACAACAAACCCGTTACAAACTCCCGGGATACACAGGAGGTGCCCTTAGAAAAAGCAAAACAAGTGCTTAAAATTATTGCTACTTACAAGCACACGACCTCCATCTTTGATGACTTTTCTCATTATGAGAAGCGCCAGGAAGAGGAGGAGGTGGTGCGGAAGGTAAACTTATTAAAACATTTATTTTATACACAGATATGGGGAAAATGAAATGTGAAGGCTGCTATGGTGGAAAAAAATGTAAGTAGGAATTTGTAATGTTTTCAATGCATCTCAGCTTGATGGTTTTATGTGTGTTTAGCAGCACAAAAAAACAAACACGCCGATGCTTATTTGTGGTAATTTCCTAGCTGATGAGTTTCAAAGCAGAAGGCTAAGCAGTGATGCAGGCAAAGGACATTACGTCCAGTTTTTTGGAGTTGGATTTATTTTTTTATCTTAAAGTGGTTAATAAACTGGAAAACAGTTTCTGTTTCAGAATTGGATTTTGCAAAGTGATTGCAGCTTAAGTTTTTTGCCTTAAATAGGAGGGGTTTTAACACAGACTGGAGCTGGGCTATCAAAATTTATGTTTGTATTGGCATTTGAAACTTCTAAATCACCTTTCAGAGCTAGAAGCCAGATCTTGTTTGTTCAGCTGGTCCCTGGAAAAGAAAAGAGTTGCATAAAATTACTGGAATAGTGCTAGAAAGGTGGTGTTTCTGCTGTTGTGTATTGTTATTTGAGTAAATAAAGGCTTTCAGTTCCCAGGTCTAATCTGTCTGCTAATTCTTGACAAGAAGTTTTGAGGGAAGATGGAGTAAGAGAAGTTTAGGCAGTAACTGGGAAAGTGTAGTAACATCTTAATTTAAAAGCTTAAGAGCTTTCATAGCTCTTAAATGCTGGAAGAGGCATCTGTCCCTGTACAGCCCATGACCTCAGTTTCCAGAATGCCTTTCTCTAGGCAGCCTGGAAGCAATGCCCTGACAGAAGAGTAGGTGTTGGGGTGTGTAGTTACTGGCTAAGTAGCACTTAAAGCTGCTTCACGTTGTTAATGTTCATAGACTCCTTGGAATAGCATTTGAAATAAAGCATTCATTTGAGAGGCCAGCTTAGCACAGCTCACACTTGCTTCAAAACGTTTTTGGATGTTGTGGAGCTTAAGTTCAGGTTGCTATTTTAAGGGTTTTACTGCCATTTAAAAGTGCAGATAAAATTGTTTTAAACTGTCTCCATTGAATGTACTCTTAAATTACAAGAGAAGAGGAGATCAGTGTCTTGAGAACTTTTTAGCTTGACTTTTCCTAGCTGTAAGAAACAATGTGCACAGTGTAGCTCAGCACAGCAAGGGAAGGGAGCTTCAGGTTTGAAGGTGTTTTTTTTTTTTTCTGGTGTACTCCCTGTGGGCTTCCACAAGCTAAAACCTAAAAGCCTTTACTCCAACACTTCCTTCCTTCAGTAAACAATTAGCAGGACAATATTTAGTTCAACCTGTATGTTGAGAAGAGGGGTTCCCTTGTGTAGGAGAGAACCTTGAATAAGTCAGAAGGCCTGGCTTGCTTTGTCCAGTGTTCATGGTGTATGGGGGAGTCACTGTTTGGGCTTTTTAATGCTAAACCTCCCTGTGTTTTGCTGCCAAGTCTGGAGGGGAGAATTATGTATGTGTTTAAGGAGTGAGAGTACTGGGAAGGTGATGGGAGATCTCGAGCAGTTGGCTCACTGGCCTGGGAAGATCCCTGGCTGCCTCCCCACACCATGGAGCTCAGGGGGCTGATGTTCAGCTACTGGGCTGATCCCACTTTGGGTTGTTTTAACGTCCCCAGCTGTTGCCCACCTTCAGTTCAAATGCTGATACAATAATCTTACCCAGCTCACTGCTTTATAAAAGGATCAGTTTTTCAAAATACTGCTTTCTTTTTCCCTGCTTCATTTAAAACTGAGCCTGTAGCTTGTATGACGCGTTCAGATATAAACCCTGAAGTCTGAGTTTAAACATTTCTTCAATTCTGCTGACTAGCTTGGAAAACAGGATGATATGCAGGCAATTGAAGGGCTCTGAGGAGGGTAATGGTGCTAGAGAGGTAAAACAGATCCACTGTGAGGGAATGAAAAACAAGATGCTGCTTGTCAGGTTGCATACTGTAAAACTATTGTCTGGAAAATTAATACTGTTCCCTTCACTGACTAAATGAATTTTCCACGTCCAGCTGATTACTAGAAGTGTTTCTTTGCAGGATATGCACTCACTTAAACTTCTTAGAGTTGAGAAGTTTGTGCTATTGAAGTTGGAGCCCTCCAAAGTTATGCAAAGTTAACCCTCCTGTGACAATAAATTTTGAACAATTGTATTGCCAGCTGTCTTAGGTCCTCATGGACATTTTCAGATGGTTTGTTGTGTGTGTGCCATTTTAACTCGTTCTCATGTCTGTGGATTTTATTCATTGTACTTTGTTTAGCAGTAAAATTACTTGTTGAAATTTTGTTTCCATTTCACCACTGTTGTGATTGTAAGGAGCCAGAATTCTTTAAAATCTGCCCATGGAAGGCTTGAATTCTTTAATTTCATTTCTACACAAACGTTTAGTAGGGAATAACTTCATGTAGCCTTAACAAAATTGTCTTCTGAAGCGGTAAAATCTTGTAGAGAAAATAAACTTGTTGAAGATTTGGGTATTTGTTTACATCTTGTGATAGGCCAGATGGGTTGATCTGCTGTCAGCAGCTTGTCCTCATAGATCTGTGTTTAACTAGATGGTCTTAGCTGCTGGCCAGGACTGCTGGGCTGTCACCCCTGATGTGTGTCAGGGCTGATGCCAAGGGCTGCCTTGTGTGCATAGTCCTGGCTGGGAAAGCCCTCGAATCACCAGGGTTATGGTTTCTCCTTTAGAGTGGTTAAATATTGCAGAGTGTTAACTTGTTCATGCTGGCACTTAAAAATACTCCTTTTCTTCTAGTGTTGTGTATCTCTGTTCACTCTGCTTTCTGGGAGCACCCTCACTGGTACAGGATTTCTAAAGGATGGAATATTGTCCTTCCTCCAGAGCTGTAGTTAAAGAACACTTCTATTTTAGGATGGACACAATGAATACTATTTATGTTTCCTGATAGAAAGAAAACGTGTATTTTTTGTGTCAGAAGGTGAACACTTTCATCCCACTGACCTTACCAAATAAAGTTTAGTAGGAAGGCTGACAGCTCCTTCAGGCTGAGGTGAAGGGAACAGAAATTTGACAGGGATGAGCCTCTCCAGAAGAGAAGTTTGTGCAGGTTTTGTAAAAATGTGTTTTTCTCATGACCAAAGACTATCTATATAAATGCCACGAAGGAGAACTGTGCAACAGGAGCTCCCCTAGGCAATACCAGAGAATTCCCCTGGAGGAAAGAAACTATGAAGGTTCTGGATGGATCTTCAGAACCAAAATGAGTGAAGCTTTGCTAGTTCCTTACAAACCTGCTGCTTGTTGCTTACAGTAGTGCTAAGTAGCAGTAAGGAAGAGATTTTGACTTAGAGCTTCTGGAAAGCAACCACGCTCAAGAGCACAGAGTTGTTACATCAGTTTCCTCCCCATCAATTGATCTGGTTTCAGACACTTTGTTACAGGAAGACTCAGATTAGCACCCAAGAGGCCAAAGGGAGCAGCAAGGTGGGAGGAACTGCTCAATAGCTTGCTCAATAAGTAGCTTTTTTTAGTCGATGATAAAGCCTGAGCTGAGTTTTGAATGCCATAAGCACGGGTGTTAACCCACCACATAGTTACATGGGACTAGTCCCTGAGAATGGAAAACTTGATAGCTTGTTTTTGTAAAGAAAGTGGAATTATGAGGGTCAGAAAACTGAAGTTATATAAGGTGGTGATGGGAAGGAACAGGTTGATGAGCATGGTAGGGCTGTGAAGGGGAGTTGCCACCTTAGAAATGGAAGTAAGCTGGAAAAATCACTTTTTAGGAAGCCTGAAAATGGCATTGATGTGATTCAGGTTTAGATTCTTTCTAACTACCTTTTGTTTGAAGTGTCAGGCAGCCATCAGCTATTTTTATTGGGAACATGGAACACCTCTTATGCTCTGATACTCTGCCACTGAGAAATTACTGTCATTGACAGTTCATCATAAGTTAGCAGTTAAAGGGTAGAAGGTATATAGATTTTTAAAATAAATTATGCCACTTTACGTGTTCTGGTTTGCTGATTTGGTAAAAGTTTTGCCATCTTTTACTTAAGTTCTAAGTTGTAGATTAAGAATTTATACCAGACTTGGTTTTTGCTTTGTCAAATATTTCAACTCCCAGAAGGGTTGAGCAGACAGGAAGCATTAGGAACAGACTGTCTAGAGAGCTCAACTCCTTACTTCTATTGAATGTGACTCAACTCCAAAGCCAACTGCTTCAAAATTATGCCAGTTCTGTGGAGTTCACCGATCTACAATCTCTTCCACTTGTGTGTTGGCTGTGCCACTACTGCAGTAGCTAAAACAATGCAGGAAGCAGAAGGCTGCAGGTCCTGTTGCTGTTAGGAGTGTTGATGTTCCCCACTTCTCTTGCTGTGACCATCACTGCTCCCAGTTTGATCCAGTGCAGATATTCCTTCAGCTCTTCCACTTGTCACTGCACTCACTGGGAAGTTACCAAGTCCCTGGACTTGTCAGGTAGATATACGGTGTATTTTTAACAAAGTGTGTAATTATCTGGGATCACATGCTGTTAAAAAAAACAAAACTTTTTGCTTGTTCACGTGCCTAAAATCCTAACTTTCAACTTTCTTCTCATTGCAGGAACGTCAGAATCGAAACAAACAATAAGAATAAACATAAACAGTTTGATATATATACTAGAACTGATATTAAATTCGACCATGAGAAACAAAATTTAAGTCTGCTGGTGCTGTATCCTGGCATCAGGACAAACTAAAGCTTTCAGCTCCAATGTATCTTCTCGTGCAGGGGAAATTAAGTTGTCGCATCTTTAAGTACCTTGTAGTTTTATTTTTGCCCAAGTGGATCTGCATTAATTTGTATCTTTTTTTTTTTTGCTTTGTAAAATTCTGTAGAGATCATTAATAAAAGCGTGTCTGTTTTTATTTTTTAAGTTGATAAACAGTTCTATTAACCTACTGTGGACCTAAACGTGAGCATACTAAAGTGTCAGTGCTTCCCAAAGACTTTGTTTTGGCACAAATTACGTTCCTAGCCAGACACAGAGAACACATCACAAATCTTCCTTTTTCCTCCTTCCCGAGCCCTTTTTCTCCATGCCTTCATTTTTGTCATTTAAAAAGAAACTCTTTAAGGTACTGCACTTCAGAATTTTGAAATGGAAAATAAAAAAAAAACCCCAAACCACCCCAGGAAGTTTCTGATCCCCTTGTGCAGCTGCTCTGCCTCTTTCTTTCTCTGTACAATTACACTCCTTAAAATCGCTAACGCTCCACGTTGGGTTTTTTTTCTGTCTAGTAGCAAATCAAATTGTCAGTGAAATTGTTTCTCTGGAACAAAAAACCAACCAAACCTCTTTCCCTTTCCCATTCTGTTAGCCAGTGCTGCAGTGTGCATTTGTTACCCCACGTCCTGCTGGGGGGGGGGAGCCAGGCCAGAATTCTGCTTGACGGTTTTTTGTAGCTTAATTCAATAATAATGTGATGCTATCAACATTGCAGGGGTTTTGGACAACGTGTTTAAAGCTGTTTCAGCTTTCAGGTGTTATTAGTTAATTGCAGATCATTTTTAATCCTTCCCTTCATTACTCCCCCCCTCCCCCAAATCCTAATGCCATTTAAAGTTTTTATACCAATAATGCTGAGCTTTAACGTAGGAACTAATAGTACGGATAATATGATGGATTATGCCTCAGATGTTTAAAATTGACAGTGTGTATGTCTAATATTATTTTTTTTCTGTTGGATGAGTAAAAAACAAAACAAACCTGTTTTATGAAACTGAATTTGCTGTCCTGTTTTTGTGGAGTGAGGGGACCGTCGGAGAACCTGTCACCAACTGGAGTTCCAATTAAGCATGGAAATGGTGCTCATGTCCGCTGCTCTAGCACACTGAATCTGCACGTGTTTATTGTAGAGGATCTTTTACTATATTAGCAAGTATCTTCTGAATACTATTTACTCCAAAAGGACCTCCAATTTAAATAAAGTTTAATCTGTATCACTTAGACTTGTATTTAGAACGTATAACTCTGTCTCTGGACTGTTACTGCCTGTAAGGGGTAATGGACAGCATCAGATTAACTTTTTCCTCTAGGAGAATACAAGCCTTAATAAACAATACATATTTAGCAAGTTTGATGTCATTTTCATTTTTTTTTCCCCCCTGCTTTCAGTTGTCTTCTCATGTTATAATCACCCTTTATGCTGACTCCTGGGTTAATTCTCATGTGAGGAGGGTTTTGAGTGAGTAACTCAGATGGTTGCAGGAGGGTTTCACAGGACTCAGAGCAGCTCAGATGTCCTCTGCAGAATGTTCCCATTCCCCAAAAGAACTACCTGTGTGTCTGACATCAGTAATTTGACTTGGTGGCTTTTTTTAGCTGGCTTTTTGAAGCAACACTGTGATTTATAAACATGTTGCTGTCTAATAGAAGCACCTGCTGTGAGTTTGAGTCGTTGTAGCAGGAGACTTGCAACAGGTGATTCCAGAGCCAAAAAGAATTCAGCTCCATCTGGACCCTGAAGAGAAAAGTTAGTGACACAGCTCTTATTTCTTTAGATCTGAAAAAGAAAACCCAAAAGAAAACATTTGCTGTGGTATAACTGTAGACTTCAGCTAAATGTTAAAAAAACAACCAAACAAACAAGAAAAACCCCCAACCCAACCAAATAAAACCCCAACAAATTGCAAGGCTTTGGCTGAAACCGGTTTGACTGTACTGTTAGGAAAAGTTAGGATGTGTTTCAACCTGCTCTCTGGCTTTGTGGGTAGCAGAAAAAAATCCCAAACACCTTCAACGTGTGGAGATTTCTTAAAGTCCCGAGTGAAGTGGGGAGAAAATTTTACTGCTTGGAAACTGTGAATGTTACATCATTAGGGGGGAAAAAACATCTTCATTTGGCAGAAGTCACACCAGAAGTAATAGCACTGAATACTTCATCTTTATGGAGATGGTGTTTGTTGCTGTGAAGGATGATTTGAAGTGACTTGAGCTTGTAGAGAAAATGGATTGAGTTAAATCTACCCTGAGATGTAAAGACAGAAACAGGCAGACAAAAATAAACAACCCCACGTTCAAGATTCCTGCTCTGCCTTAACACGTGGTCATAAATGGACAGACTTTGGTTTCCACCTCACTCATTCTTGGAAGATGGAAAGAGGGGATGTAAAATTTGAAATCTTCATTTTTTTTTCTTTCCTTTCACCCTTTAAAGGACTGTTTAGATTGAAAGTTGTGAGTGTTCCTTCATAAAATACTTGATTTTTGCTTGGAGAGCTTAAAGATATTAAGGGTTTGACTCAAATATATTAGTGAGATCTCAGTGAAAAAAAAAAATAGTATTTAATTTTTAGTGTTAGAGCGACCACAGTGGACAAGAGAGCACAGACAAGTTGTGACAGAACATGTCTTTGCTTCTCCTCTTTAATAACAAGTAAATAACCTCTTCAATAAAAGTAGGTTTTGATCTCCTTTTCTGGTCTCAGTGACTGAATCCTATCAATCTGTTTCATTTGGAAGAAGCTTTGGCTTTTTCTACCAACAGTGCTCAGCACCTGCTCGTTTTAGGAGAAAGCTGTTGGCTGTTCTGGGGGCTGGGGCAGGTTTTTAACTGGAATCTGTGATGCTGCCCAAGAACAGCTCTTGTCCAGCCCATTCTGCAAGGGACTGGAAGTGTTGAAATGACTTCACTGGGGCGTGGCTTGGCAGGGGGAGGTTTTGGGATTTCACGAGGGATGTGATTCAGCCCCACGGGGGCTGTCTTCTGAAAACTCAGGCTGGGAAAAAAAGCCTTTAAAATGGCCTTGCACGTCACACACAAACGATGCATTGCATGCAGGATGGGATGACAGTCTGAGATTTTTCATTCCCTACCAAGATTCTAAGCAGGGCAGGGATTTAGGATTTACAAGAACAGCTTCTGTTCCCTCTTATGACGCTGGATTCGAAACCTTATTATATGTAGGATCCTAATTTCAAGGCATCTTTGTAATCCCTTGGGAAATCCTGCCTAAAAGAGTGCTGACTTGGCTTCTCTAGCAGCTATTTGCTTCCTCTAGCATCCTTTTTATTCACATTCCTGCCCTTGGAGACACTCTTCACCACGCAGGACTTCACAGAACTGACATCTGCACTGTCTTTTACTGAATCTGCTTTGATTTGGAGAGTGTGGGAGGTTTCACACCATCTGTCTGTTTATAAGTTATTCAAGAAATTATTTTTACCTGGGATGTAACCATGACAACAGACAGTTGGTGAAGTCTTCACCAGATGCATCTCTAATGTTGTCCAACTGCTGCTAAATCAGCAGGATCTGGTGTTTTGCTCCAGTTGTAATAGTGAGGACAGTGTGAAAGAGGTGTGAGTAATAATTTGGCCAAATCTGAATTTTCCAGGTGTTTTTAGAGGATTAATGCAATGAGTTGGGCAGTAGCACAGAGCACAAGCAACCTTCTGGATTCCCCCTCCCTGTTCTGTGGGGTGAGAATAAGGAGAAAGCCAATTTTATCAGTAGGTGATTTATTAATCTATACAGATATTACCAGTGAGGTTTTTTTCACTGGTTGTACCTTCTGTGTAGCCCCTCTGTTGAACTGTTGCTACACTGCTCTGTTCCCCTTGACAGCATCACTGCAAACTGCAGCACAGGTTGGATTTCTGTGCCCTGCTCCTGTGCATCCACAGAGGGTAACTTCAGCCAGCTGGGTTTTGATCACCTCTAGGAGAGCTCTACAAACCCTCCTGAGAAGTTACAAACCAGGGACATAGGGAGTGTTCTTGCTGCTGTAACAACATGTTGTAATTAGCTGGAAACACTGATGGGAGAGAATGGGAATGTGCCAATTCTCCCAACATACCATTCCTCTCCCAGTAACTAGCAATAGGAGGAGAAGAAATGGGGTTCAGTTGCTCCAGGGAAGGGTTAGGTTGGATGTTAGGCAGAATTTCTCTCCTGGCAGAGTGGTGAGGCCTTGGCCCAGGCTGCCCAGGGAGGTGGTGGAGTCCCCAGCCCTGGAGAGGTTCAGAAAAACATGCAGATGTGACACTTCAGGACATCTTTTAGTGGTCATGGGAGTGTTGGGTTCATGGTGGAACCTGATGAGCTTAGAATTGTCTTCAACCTTAAGGATTCTTGCAGCTGAACCCACTTTGCTGGCACAGTGTTTCCCTGCTTCTGATGCCAGGCTGCAGGAGGTGGGTGTCGTTAGGCTAACGAAGCAGCAGAGCAGGTCAGGGTCTGCTCCTGGCTGGAGATTCTAATGAGAGGCCGTGCACACCCTGGGTAGGAGCTCAGGGTTACCCAGTCTGAAGTCAGGCTTGCTGGTGGAGTGCTTTCCTTTTCATCCCCTTTGGGGTGAAACTTCTGGATACTCAACGTGCTCAAGGAAGAGTGAATTTTGGTATGTCTGGGGATTTATGGAGACTGTTTGGCTTCCTTCTCTGGTTGGTGTGTATAGAAATTCTTTTCTAATATCATTCTGTTTTGTATAGATTTGCAAAATGTTGACAGACTACAGTTAGTTGACTGTTGATAGTATGTTTTTTTTAGGGGGAGGAATTCTGCAGAGGTCTGTAAAGAACCAGTGGTTTTGTTACCTCAAAAACTGTCAGCAGAGGCTTTGGGTCTCTTCTAAATCAGCTGAGCTTCCTGTCAAAGGGTGAGGTGTTGGGGTGTTTGGGCTTGTAGTAACTTTATTTCATCAATCCAGCAGTGCTGTTTGTTGCTGTCTGGCATGAAAAGTTAGAAATGTGTGAAGTGCAACTACCTGTTAATTTTCTAGCCCTCATTTCCAATGTTTCACTTGTGCAAAGGCTTTGTGGTGCTCCAGAAAGCACCAAAGCTGTGATCCTTCCCATTTCTGCTGCTGGGGCTTGAGATGGGACCAAGCCTGGAAGGCAGGTGCAGGTCAGGGCAGGTGACAAACTCCTGGCACGGCACAAGTCCTTGGAAATGTTCCGTTTAAGGGTTGCAGGAGTTAGTCCTTAAAGGAGCTGTTTTGTGCTTTCCTTTAGGTGCTCTGAGGTAGAGCAGAGAGTGGGGGTGACAGCCCAGAGGGAGCTGAAGGTGAAGGCTTGAGCCACTGGCAAGCTGTTGAGAT